CCAGTCCTGAAGTTGGGGAGAGGGTCTCCTTGACGTAGGTCTGGGCGCCCTTCTCGAACTTGGTGATCTCCTCAGCAGAGGCACCAGTCTCCTGGAGGTGGGCCTTGACGGCCTTCATGTAGCCCTTGAGGTAGGACAGGTAGCCCTTCTTGTCGAAAGAGGTGGACTGGAGGCGGAAAGAGTTGACAATGTTGTTGACCTTCACAACGTCGTCATCGAGAGCCTCCTCAGCCTCCTCAGCGGAAGCGTTGGCACCAGTGTCTGAGAGGAGATCGTCGTTAGCGAACGGAGCTTTGGGTGGCGGGGTGTTGCTGCTTGGAGGGGGGATTTCCATTCAGCAGACGCGGGGAGGGTCAGTACGCACTGACGCTGACGGCGCCGAGCTCGATCATGGCGCAGTCGGCCTCGAAGACGACACCGCCGACCTCCTTGAGGTCGTACGAGTCGGAGATGAGCTCGTCACCGGTGAGGATGTCCTGTTGTTGAGAGATGCGGGGTCAGCGATTCTGCAGTTTGAATTATCCCACTTCTCTGCCCCTCTTCCTACGTCGCATGCGCGGGGCATAGGAGGGGCCGAGGTAGATGCTGGGGGGCTCCATGGCGTACCTTGTAAATCTTCATGTTGACGGTTTGAGGGGGTGTTGTATTGTTGGTGATGTAAAAGAGAGTCGTAGGAAGACGGATGTCCTTGTTTGTAGTTCGGGCGGGAAGAGGTACAGGCGGGGTGAGAAAAGAATCTAATAAGTCTTTCTTCGCGCAAAATTGGAAAGTGGGAGGGGCGGCACCAGACTGGACGGCGAGTTGGTGGGGTTTTTGGCGCTAAGCCCAGGAGTGGCCTAGCCTCTTCTGCCCGTGGTCCAGGTTTCGAGGCATGCGGTGGTCTGTGCCTCTGCATTGCTGCTTGAATGTTGTGCCTGAGGCTGCTATACAAAGTTCTTCTTTTCCATTTGCGTGGGAAAGGTTAGGTGCCCGAAAAGGGGGCGACGCAAGGGGAGAACCAGGAGCTCATCAATAGCTTCGCCAGCCCGACAGCTGGCGACAGACGGACGAGGCTGTAGGTCGTACTCGTAGATGAGCATTCCTCCAATGGACAGGTGCGAATGCGAACCCGCGCTCCATGTTGGAGGTTACCTTCAGTCTACCGAGCCGAGCGAGCCTACATCCGAGTGCAGAGGCAGAGGGGGAGAGGCCTCTCTGAGCTTGGTGCACGTTTTCAGTGGCATGATGCGGCCTGGCTTGGTCCCGAAACAGGAAACCAATGAAGCTTCGGAGTGCATGGCCAGTTCGTCAGGAACTTATTTATTTGAACCATACGCACATCGTTCGATTCGCCCGGAAATCATAGCATCCTGCTCACTCATCTACTGATCCGACATCAGTTTTGCTCCTCGTCGTGTACAGCACTCGACACCAACTGTGATCGCCCACGTCAACAGCTGCGGGACACACTTAGTCAGCCGCACCTCACAGTGAGATCATCTCCGTCGCTCCCGAGACTCCACTCGCCACCTGCACGGCTCCACGTCCTCAGAGGTCCGTCGACCTCAAGTTTGACTTTCCCTTCCAATCTTTCCACGCCTGCGTCCGTTCGACGACCCTACTTTCGACCTTGCGACCGCTTCAACTGCAGACACTCCTTTACACCCAGCTATCGATCATCACAAGCAATACAACACCGCCCCTTTTTCGCCATCTTTCCATCACCCCGCCATACCGATCATCTCGCCTTGGCCTCCCTTCGTCAGCCTGGAAATTGAGTCGACCCATTGTCATCCCACACGCCTGCGATGGTGAACGAGACCATGGCCACAGTCATGGCCTCGACCAACGCGACTTGGTTTGACGACCTTCCACCTCTTCCTTCCTACACGGAGAAGGCCATTCCAGACATTGTTCCCGGCATCCCGAACTTCTACATGTTCCCCATCCTGCCTATCATCATCTACTGGATCCTCTCCATCTTCTTCCACATTATCGACACATACGACGTTTGGCCGCAGTACCGTCTACACACGCCAGAGGAAATCACCAAGCGCAACCATGTCAGCCGCTACGAGGTCGCCCGTGACGTCGTCGTCCAACAGTTTATTCAAATCGGCATGGCCCTCTTCCTCGACGCGACCGAGGCCGCCCAGATGATTGGTAGCGAGGAGTACGATGTCGCTGTGTGGGCTACGCGCGTGCGCCTCGCCCAGCGCGGACTTCCTGCGCTCCTCGGCTTCCTTGGCCTCAACGCTGCGACCATCTCGAAGAACATGTCGGCCTCGCACCCTTTGATTGCCGGCGCGCTTGCTGGCGGTCACTACCCGTCGCTCATGAGCCCCTCCATCGACGGCGTCAACGCTGTGCCCACCTTTGCACTGTGGGAGCTTTTGGTCGCCAAGGCTATCTACTGGGCCATCATCCCGACCCTCCAGATTTTCATTGGCACCGTTCTGCTTGACACCTGGCAGTACTTCCTGCACCGCCTGATGCACGTCAATAAGTTTATGTACAGTAAGTGGTGTCATGGTGATTTCACTTGATTCGACCCCCAATTGACCCCTGGCGACACAGCTACCTTCCACTCGCGCCACCACCGTCTCTACGTCCCTTACGCCTACGGCGCACTCTACAACCACCCCGTCGAAGGTTTCCTGCTCGACACCCTCGGCGCTGGTCTCTCTTACAAGGTCACCTTCATGACCCAAAGACAGGGTCTGCTCTTCTTCTGCCTGTCGACGATCAAGACGGTCGACGACCACTGCGGCTATGCCCTGCCCTGGGACCCTATTCAGCACATTACGAGTAACAATGCTGCCTACCACGACATCCACCACCAGACTTGGGGCATTAAGACCAACTTCTCCCAACCCTTCTTCACCTTCTGGGACCGCTTCCTGAACACCAGGTACAAGGGCAACAGGCAGAAACCGCCTGTTGAAAAAGGAGAAGGCAGTCGCCGCCGCCAAGACCAAATGAGCTTTTAATGGTCATATCTCCTTACCCTCTTTTCTTCCACGACGTAATATGTAACAACCTTCTCTTCGACTGTAACCCCCCTCTTTTCTTTATTTTGTTTTTCGATCGAGACCGGTTTGGATGGATGGCTGGATCCGCCGCAATGAAGATGGTCCGCGCTGTGAATATACACAGCACACACACACACACAACACATTCAGGGGTAGGGCATGGACAGGCGTTTTCCTTGTTGTTTTTCGAGCCGATCTTCTTCTTTGGTGTTTTGAACCCCCCCTTGCGTTGTCTTGATAATAGAGTAGGCCTCGGCTCGAGGTCCTGCGTCGATCCAAGCTCGTCTGACGGGTCATAAAACGGAGAGGGGTACGCTCATCTCGACGCGTACTTTCGGCAACTCGTATGGCCTAGATCGCGTTGTTCTTCGGGCGACATGAAGCGAGGTGACATGTGCGGCGGGGCCTCCTGTGACAAGAGGTGGGACGGTGTTCACGGCGGTAGGTGCTTAATTCGAGGTCCGGTCAGACAATGTGTCCCGTGCAACCTGGGAATGTGGAAAACGGCGACTCGGGGGTTTGTGATTCACTACGCTACACATAATGGAAGTTTTCAGTTTGACCAACCCGCGATCGTGCTACTCGGCGCGGCATGCTGTGTCTGTGATTGAATTGACCGTGCCCTGCGCTCTGGCTTTGTGAGAATAGGCCTTTGGTATAATACGATCTTGAGTTGCGCCAGGTAGAAACAGAACAGCACTGCATACACCGTGACGAGGGAGCAGAATGTCAAAAGCGACAAGCTCATCGAAGTGTTGAAAGATCAGACGGAGGGAAGCTCCCTGTCCCCCCCCCTCCCTCACACCATCGGACAGTGCTGCGAGAAGAGACCATTTGCTCGTCACCGCTTCTCCAGCCTGTCATCACAAGAAGCAATGCTACTTCCCAAACCACGGCCCCCGAGACATTGAGCCACAGTCTACGGCGGGTAACCTGGGACACCCCAAATCGACACAGCGTCAGCCGAGAACCGTGCAACAACCTGACGCATCACCGAAAATACAAGGGCTCCAACGAGCCGCATCGCACACCGAGCGCCCCGGCACCGCGACGTTTCGGCTGGGGGGTAACCCTCCCCTCCCCTGATCCACCGCGCCCGTCCTGCAGGCCCCGTCAACATACATGTACATTTGCAAGGGAGATCGGCACCGTGCTTCAGGGTCAGACTTTTGGTGGCAGGAGGCAGAACTTTCTGATGGGGAGATTGGGGGGTTAGGGGCCTTGTTCGCTTTGAGGAGCAAATGGTGCTCGGGGCCTCGGCGAGGATCAGGTCAAGCGAGATGTGAGGGCGGAATTGCTGACAACAGAGACGAAGAGGAAAAATAATCGGAGGCGGCGGACTAGAGAGGGATTTACCGGGTTCCGGGGGCTTGTGATCCTGGGGGCTTGGCAGGGGATTTTTTTTGCTGCGGATGCCGGCGCTAGGGGAGGATGCGAGCGAGGATTGTAGAGGATCACAGGATGGGACGAGCGATGATGGTGTGCTCCAACCTTAAGCTTCATTGCCGGAGAGTGACAAGTTGCAAGAGTCGAGTATGATTGACAGTCGGAGGATGCTTTTGAATTCGCCGTCGCAACAAACTCTTTTGAGCACGGTCGGTTGGTGCATTCAGCTACCTCTCAATTGCAATGCAGCCGGACCTCACGGCCGTTACTCGGTCAGAGGGGGATGCAGAGGGCCAGGGGTCTCAAACCAGAAGGGTGCAGCATCGAGGTCCCGGCTGGCGGTGTCCGAGATGGCTTCTATTGACGAGGTACCACCCGAAAACTGGCTGGTCTGGTCAGGAGTGGTTACCAGCTGCCACATGGCAGGCTGCGAGAGGGGCTATGGTCGAGCTGAATGCACGAGTAAGCCAATACATGATGCGACCATGGTGATGGCCTTCGACCCAGCCCTCCAACCGGAGCATTGATGGGTAGGAGGACAAGAACACAGAAACAAGTCATCGTGGTATCTGAAAGCATACCACCGCATCATCATCACAATGACGAAACGCGCCTGTTTTCGTCTCCGGTCTCTGACTCGGTAGCTTCGCCAACTGGGTTTTCTCCAAATCGAGACGCGAACGGCGACGGGCCAATCGTCTTACATGGGCTACCAATTTGCGTGCTGGGTCCCCATCTTTCTCGAGTCACCAACAACAAGTCGCGGGGCCCGCCCTGGCTGTCATCTGCCACCGAAGCCCCCCGCTTGGCGCTGGAGCTATTGGGTGTTCCCCCGAACCGTGGCGGTCGTGAGACAATGAGTGGCCCTGAGGTGCAGACGCTGCTTGTTCCTTCTTGGCAGTCGCTCGGGGGGCAAGCGGGGCCCTGCGAGATTGCCATACTGGCGTCTTGCGCTACTGAAGCAGTGCTCGATGGGCGACCGCCTTCAAGCTCGTTGCATCACGCAACACTCAGCTCGACATGGGGCGGCTGGGCTGGGCTGGGCAGGCACGATTTACCTTGGGTGCGTGTTAGCCAGTCGCGACTGCTGCTCTTGTATCGTGGTTTCCCATGTTGGATCAGCCACCCACCGCCTTTCCTTCCGTTTGAGGGATGGTCATGTCATCATGGTTTTGGAAGCTGCCTCCTGCCCGCCTTGACTACGTATCCCATCCGTCCCTCTTTGTCAAGAATGGTCGTCTGCCCAGCCTTTTCTTTCCCTGTTCTCCTCAACTTCCCGCTGTCCTAGTCAACAGTCCCTGACTCTCGTTCACGATCATCCCTCTTTTATTACCAGTCCGAGGTGGACAGGCACCCAATCCCACTCTGCTCGCCTTGCTCCGTCACAAGCTAGGGGCTCGCCGTCAGCCAAGTCAGCTGCCAAGTTTAGCATCATCCACTCTGACTGCCGCAGCTTCCAGTGCTGCTGTGACATCCAAGCCTCCCAAACAAGTAATACAGGGACTACTGCTGTACCACCGACACCAGACTCAACCGGCTCCCCGACGTCGACGATCACCAGAAAGGTGCAAGGAGCGGCATTGGCGCCGGTCCAATCGCCAACGGCTCCATTCTATTTATCCAACGCACTTGCTCTTGGGTTGATTTTGGCACCGACAGCTCCGAAGCCCGCGACAGAAATCCCTGGTAATTTACTTCCAACAGCACGAACACCACTAGGCACGGCCTGCGTGGTCTGAACGCCCCGCCTCATCAGCCCCTCTGACCCCTGGAAACTGAAGGACCGCCGGCGGCCCTCAACACCAAACCTCCTGGTCAAGGCGCACCTTGCTGGGCCTAGCGGATGCATTAACACTCCCAAACGTGCCCCTTCAGCCAATAGAGGATCACACTCCCTCAGCCCAAAAGGACGCCATCCCCCACGGCATCGCCTACAGCTGCTCCCACCGCCCCCAAGCCTCTCCGAACTGGGGCCACCTGGAATTGCGAGCGCTCCAAGGTGCCCAAAGCGTCTCCTTAGCACCATCTCATCTCGTCTCGTTGACGGCCTGCATCTGACAAGGTGCGGTCGATGTCAGGTTCAGCTCTCCGCGTTCCGGACAAACCTGGTTCAAAATACCCAAATACCCCGTGGCACCCGACATCTCGTTCACTTATCAGACCAAAATCACAACCAGCAATCTGAGATTGCCTGCATCAGCCATCTGTTGTTCCCGGCATCCTGCATCAACCCTCGCTCCCGAGTACTCGGCACTAACACGCAACCCACCCGCGCCCTCGACCTTTCATCACGGCCGCGACCTTTTTTGGAACGCATTACGAACCAACAGCTTTCAGACGGGCTTGTTCTTCCAGACGCCCATCATTCACAGGGGATCATCTTCTCCATCGCCCGTTTCGGGGTCGACAGCGCCTACCCAGTCAAATTGTCCAGGGGTCCTTCGTCGCCTTCGTAAGCGCCCACCAGTCAGGCGTCGCCTTTGACTCTCGGACATACATCACGGCGCTTCCACGACTGGGTCGCCGAAATCATTGGTCGACCAAGATTCCTGTCATCACAGCCTCTGCATTCCCACACGGCAGCATTATCCTTTTCTCTGCGTCTACTCAAACAGAATGGGACGATTTTCTGCGTTTCAGTGACTACGCTCTTGCCGGATCTGCACCTGTCGCTGGATAGCAAGCGCCTCGGCCCCCCAATAAGACCTTGCTGGCCGCCACCTCTCGACGAGGCCCCCTTTGCCCGCCATGGACCCTACCACGACTCTCTTTACTTTCATGCTGTGAGTCTCGACACTTTGCATTCTTTTTTTACCTTTCTCTGTCGGTCTCGTGAAGTACTTTGCTGGCACTTTTATTCTTTACATTCGTTGATCGAATACATTCCTTGCACTTACACCAATTCCTGCCTTGTACGTATGGTCCAAGCTTCATTGCCCGAATTGGACGTTGCATCGGGGTGGCCGAACGCGACCGGTCGCCCAATTTTGTTTGGGCTGACTGGAAAGTGTTGTCAGCTGGACCCTGCGATGACATTGCTTATTTTCAGCCTCATCAGCTGACGTTTGAGACGATGTTCTGCTTCCTGCGGCTGAGTAGCTGTTCGGGAGAGAACTTGCCTACCACTCACGAGACACGACGCGCTGCTTCATAAGTTCTGGTTCGCTAACCATTACCAGCGAGACGCATCCGACAGTTCAATCAGTTCATCTTTTCGGTTCTTGGGACAACTTCTCGACAGCCTACTTGATGGAGCGTGACATTCGACGAGACCGTGGCCAATGGCGCGGGTGTTACTCTTTCAAGGATATCGTCTGTGACGATGACAACGGCGCCTGCCGGAAACGAAACGGCGGTTTGAAGATGGGCCACAAGTATTACTACTATGTGAGTTGGGTTCGCAAGGAACCAATCTCATCTTTTGGTGCTAATCTATAAATTCATAGTATGAGCTCGATGGTTCGCAGGAAACCCATGACACGACTTTGCCCTCAACCACCAAGTGCCCCTACCTTCCGGGGCAAATGGTCAACACACTCGAGGTTCCTATGGAACAAGTTCTTCGCAAGCGCAGCGCCTCCCTCACGTCTCTCAAGATGACCGACTATAAGACGATGAACCCCCTCGACAAGTTCATCACACCGAAGGCTCCTCCTCCACTGCCCGACAGCATGAGGACGCGCCTGGGCTCGTCGCCTCTCACATCTTCAAGTATCTCATTGCGCTCCATGTCACCGGCTCCCGCATGGCGACGTTTGTTCGGCCGGCGGTCCTCTAGCCGGACCGGCGAACGTGATCGTCATCTCAACGAGGAGCATTGGTCCATATCATCAGATGTCTACGTGGATGATGAGAGAAGCCTCCTCTCATCGCAAGGTAGCCGAAGCAGGGACATTTCGCCCGAATCTCTTCAGCGTTTCCTGGCCGACGAAACCGCACCGTCAGTGCCGCCCCCCGCTATGGAAGAGCGGCCGACTCTGTCGATACCGGAAGACATTGTGGAAGAGAATGAAGACGACCTCAACTTCGCCACATCAGCCGTGTCTGAAAACAACCCCTACGCAACATGCCTATCGCCTCCACCTTTCAAACGGTCCCACTCCGACAGCAGCATGCCTACTGTCACGAATGGCAGCCAAATGACGCTGACACAATATGTCCACTCCACATCGGACAAGGTTGATGCTACGCATGCGCCGTTCCCAACTCGGGACCTCCAGAGCCGTCCCACTCTCGGACTCGACATGTCGGAGTCGCGGTTCTCTATGTCTTCCGCTTCCAGCATTGTCTCCCAAGAGCTACGCTCCCCAGATGATGAGCCGCCCTCATGGTATGACTCCAATGATGACGACGATGAGTTGCTCTCGTCGAATGAAAGCGAGTCCTCCCGTAAGCCTCCGTGCGCGCTGGATTCGACAAATACGTCTTTGGACCAGCCGCGAGCCCCTATTGCCAGTTATAGCCTGCCACAGGGACCAGACCATGTCAGCAAGCAGTCTCTGCATGACCAACGCACCATCCACGCCTCTATTGCATCGCCGGCTTTGATTGCAAGGTCTGACCATACGCTACTCGCAAGCCCCAGCGACCATGGCATTGACGACTTTGTCAATGAAATGAACTGGATGGTCGACATTATCCATGGCGGACGTGTCTAGGCTACTCCTACACACTCGGCCATATTTCCTACGTCCTCAATGATACCCCAATTTCCTTTCATGTCCAAGACCTCTCTGAAGAACCAACTCTGGAGGATTTAGAAGGTTTTCTCTGTTGTATATATGAGCGTGAGAAAACGCCACAAGTCATGATGACGATCGATACAAGGACGACCAAGATGACTTCGAGGCTAAGCTCTGGGCGAGGTGTTATGCCTGAGGCTGGAAAAATCACGAGAATCGGTTCTGCGCGACGACTCCGCAAGAAAGATGTACGTATTTGAGGCTGTCTTCCTGTAGAGGTGATCACTTGAATGGCTCCCGGGAGGAGTCTGACCAGGTGGAGGGATAAGATTGGCAACCGCCAGCTAGATACGCACCATATATGAAGAAATGGTCAACCAATGGCAGCCCAAGATTGATGTAAAACGACAAACGTTTATACTGTCCTTTGACTGTGCGAGCCATTTAGTACCCCTTCATGAATCTGCTGGTGATTGATGAAAGGGCAAAGCCCATGTCATTCGTGTCTATCGAGTGGTCATGTTACAGCGACTGCTCAAGGGCCCAACAAAGATGAGCGATGGTATCATACATTCTTTACACTATCCGTACATCGCCGTCCCACTCTGCCATTATTCATAATACATGCCCGGCCCTCTCCGCCCTGCCTCGCGCACTCGCGTAGGATGCGTCACACCGCCGCAGGCGCCGGAGCGCCCTGCTCAGCAGGCGGAGGCGCCACAGAGGGCACGGCAGCAGCGGGAGCCGGGGTCTCAGCGGACGGCGCGCTCGGCGCAGACGGGGGCGGCACCGTCGACGCCGTGCCGGCAGCGAGCTGTTGAGGCTGCTGCTGTGGCCGGGCGGCTGGGACCGGGGCAGGCACGTCGACGTCCATCCCGTCCGTCGTCTGTGGTGCAGCATTCTCGGCCTCGGCGACAGCGACGACGGCGCCGTCTGGGTGCCTCTCGCCCGTCGTTGCTGGACGGACCTGATCTGCTGCCTCGCTCTGCTCCTGCTGCTGCTGTCTCTGCCTTTGCTCTGCTTCCTCTGCCTCTCTGAGCTTCTCCTTTTCCTTGGCCTCCGCTTCCTCCATCTGCTGCTGCTGCTGCTTCTTCTTCTTTTCTTCGGCCTCCTTCTCGAGCTCCTTTTCCTTGGCTCGCGCCTCCGGCCCGCCGAGAAACGCGACGGGCACGCCCTTGGCGGCGTAGGTGCAGCTGCCGACCCAGGCGCCGACGAGGGCGCTGAAGCGGTACTCGCCGCGGCGCAGGCGCTGGATCTCGCGGTATGCGTAGGCGTTGAAGTACGGCAGGCCGGTGTACGGGTCGCGGTAGCGGGCCGGGTGGTTCGTGATGGCGCAGAGCGGCGCGGCGGGGGGCTTGGCGAGCTTGGCGAGCTTGCGGTGGGGGCCGAAGAGGACGCGCGACTGGGTGGCCTTGTTGGCTATGAGGGGCTCGGCAAAGTTCTGGAGGATGATGGCGTGGCGGGTCGTCTTCTGGGGGGCTGCTGGCGCTGGTGCTGGCTGTGCCGACGCTTGGGGTGCGTGAGGGTCGGACGGTGTAGGAAGGGTTGACGATGCCGGTGTGGTTTCGCTTGTCTGGGAGGCGGCAGCAGGTTGCTGCGTGGGCACGCCTCCTTTGCCGGGTTGGGGCTCAAGTTGTGTTTGGAGAGGTGGAGGCTGGACGGCAGGTGCCAGTGGTTGCAAAGGCTGCAGCAGCTGTGTCTGTGTAGGAGCCGTAGCGGGTTGAATCAGCTGAGACTGCTGAAACGGGGGCTGTCCCGCTTGAGAGACTGCCGGCACGGAGTTGTGTGACGACTGGCCTGGCGTTGTCGGCGGCAGGGACAGGGGCGATGGCCTTTGTGTTGTGTTTGGCGGAGCGAGCACGTTTGACCTGGGGTTCATACCGGAGCTGCTGAGATGGATGCCACCGAGAGGTGGTGCCAGGACAGGCGGCGCGAGAACGGGAGCCTTGAGACCAGATTGTGGCGGTGCAGCAGGAGCTGCCGAGGGAGCAAGAGGAGAGGCGACAGCGGGAGCAGAAAGAGGAGCAGCAGCAGCAGCAGCAGCAGGAAGAGGAGGAGGAGGGGCGGGAAGAGCCAGAGGAGAGGGGCCCTGTGGTGATGGTGAGATGGTCGGGGGTCCGGGCTCAGGATCCGTAGGTGGTGCTGCTGGTGCCGGTGCTGGCGGTGCCAGTGCCGCTGGTGCCGGCTCGAGGGTCAGAGATGGTTGTTCAGGCGCAGCTGACGGCGGTGCCGGGCTTGGTGCATCTTCTACTTTGAGTGGAGGCATAGAGCTCTCAGGCAGTTTCGCCAGCCCTGGGTCCGCGGCCGAGATGGGCGTGTTTGGCGATGTTGTTGCTGGTGTCGACAGCATCGAGTCGACTCCTGGCTTGGCCTCCGTCCCCATACCTGTTGCCGGTGCTGTCGCTGGCGCGCCCCCCAGGGCGGGTGTCGCGGCGTCCGTCTCGGGTGCGGCACCTCCCTTCTTGTCAGCCTTGGCCTTGCCCTTCTCCGGCTTCTCCTTTTTCTCTCTCTTCTTCCGAGGCTGCTTCTCCTCCATGGTGACCGTCTTGCCGCCGTTCGCGTCGCCCTCCCACTCGCCCATGCCGCTCCAGAACGTGATGACGGGCCCCTTGAGGGTGCGGTTGTTGAGGGCCGCCAGCTTGGCCGCGCGCTCCGCCTCCCTCGCCTTCTCGGCCTCCTCCCAGCGGTTCAGGCTCTTTGCGTTTCTCTTCTCGACGAGGGCCGCCTCGGCGAGGCGCTCCGCCTGGGTCATGGGGGGTTTCTTCAGCGCCGCGAGCCTCTTGGCCTTCTTCTCCATGGCGGCTACCTGCTTCAGCCGCTTCGCCTCCCTCTCGACCATCTGGTTGTGCAGCTGCTCCTTGCTGAGCACCGTCGTCTGCCGCGCCGACGCGCGCGTCGGCATGTCCGTCACGGTGGGCAGCCAGCTCGTGCGCTCCGACTTTTTCTTGGGCCGCGAGCCGCCACCGCCGCCGCCGTCGTCGTCGTCGAGTCCAAGGCAGGCGGCCTGTCGCTGCTGATGCGGACCTTTTTGCGAAACTTGGCGGGGTATGGCGTCGTTTGGCCTTGCAGCTACCGCCGCTGGGCGGCGCGGTGCTCCTTGGCCTGGCTCTCGAGCTTCTGCTCGCCGGCGAGGTCTTGGTCGGCGGCGGCGGCGCCGTTTGGCGCTGCGTCGTCCTCCGAGTCGGACGACGAGTCCATATGCACGTCGGACACGCCGTCCTCGACGTCGGTGAAGCCGGCGTCGTCGTCGTCCTCGGCGAACAGCAGCTCGAGATCCGAGTCCGGGTCCTCGTGGGCCAGCATCGACTTCATCCGGTTGCCGGCCGTCGAGCGCTTGGCGCGGCCTGTGGCGAGCCACTCGACGGGCGTGGCGGCCGTCGAGGTCGTCGGCGTGGCCTCGTCGCTGGCGCTCGTGGCGTCGGAGCCCGAGTCGGAGTCGTAGTCGACCATGGGGGCGCGAGGGGCGGCTGTCTTGGGAGCGTCCATGGTGCTGGGACCCCGAGGGAAGGAGGGGGGAGGGGGTCGGTTGGTTCTTCTTGGTGAGGAAGGGGGCGATGGTTCTATCGGTACATGTCTGTTGTGAGGTGTGTAGCGAGCGAGGGCGGCTCGCCGGGATGTCTTTCAAGGCGTCGTCGTAGTATTCGGGATGATCGAAAGGGTTGGGCGTGTGGTGTTGAGAAGTAGGAAAGGGGTTGGTTCGGTTGGTGGGGAGCTGCGTGCGTGTGTGTGTGTGTGTGTGTGTGTGTGTGTATGTGTGGAAGGGAAGGAAGGTGGAAAGAGGTTGCACGCGTCGGCACTCCCTCCAAAGCTTGCTCGGGCAGTTTTCAGGCGCCCTACGTAACCCCTTCCCCCCCTGTACGTGCACATCTGCATACAGCCCATCCCTGCTTCTCAGAGCCAGAGGGGGCACCAGACTCATCTACAGCTTCGACAACATGCTTTCAATTGCACAGAGGTTTTGGTAGTTGCTATGTTGCCAATTTCCTCTACGGGTACTACTAGCCCATGACGTTTCTGACCAGATCGGACCACACTTCAACGTCAAGTTTCAACAACTTCGATGACCGTCTGGAATGCACATGTTCTGTCATTGTCATGGCCTCAGCCTAACGACCTATCTACGCCAAAAAAAAACCAAAAAAAAGAAAAAAAAAAAAACCAAACCCAACGCCCCTTGCCCACTGGAAAATGCTCATGTGCGAAAGCAATATCGCCCTGCTAGTCCCGTCTCAAATCTCCTCCGGCCTCCAGCCGTCCTCGTCGTCCCACTCCCTGCACCAGCCAAACCAGTGTCGCCGCTTGCACGTCGGCTCCGAAGAGGGCTCCTCGGTCGGGTCAGCAGTGGGTGTCGGCGCCGGCGTCACCTCCGGGCTCGTCGCCGGCTTCGTCGTCGACACCTCGTCGCGGCAGCCCCAGAACCGGCCGGGCAGGATGCACGTCGTCGTCGTCGTCGTCGTCGAGGCCGAGGTCGGCGCCGGGCTCGAGGGTGTGGGCCCCGCCGTCGCCTCGCTCGTTGTCGTCTGGTCGTTGCAGCCAAACCACCCAGGCGTCTTGCACGTGGATGTGGATGTGGACGTGGTCGTCGTGGTCGTCGATGTCATGGTGCCCGCTGACGGTGGTCGACTCGTCGAGGCACCCCCACCAGCCCGGCGACTTGCACGTCTCGGTACGCGTGCGCACCACAGACGTCGTCGACGACACGGGTCTCGAGCTCGTCTCGGTGCCGTTGCTCTCATAAAAGTTCCACTTGGCGCAGTCGCGGCAATCCGGCGTCGACGCACAAGAGGGCACCTCGTCGTACTTCAAGATGACATCGTTGATGACAGATCGTATCCTGTGCGTCCCGATGCCGACGCGCCAGCCCTTATCGGCAACGACGTCGTAGACACACCGCTGGCCCGTGTGGCACTCTGACTCCATGGCGTAGCCCGCAAACGAGCAGGACGCCGTGGGCCCGTGGCACATGGCCATGTACACGGGATCCGCCGTGTGCCCGACGTGAAAGGCCCCCGTGTTCTCGCGCGCCTGGTGTATGGTCTGCTCCGAACCAGGGGGCACCGGCAGTCCGAGGCGACCTGCCGCCAGCGCCTCGGGCACGGCCTCAAAGGTGACGACGGGCAGCCCGTAGGTCAGACCGAGGAGCGAGCTCACAGCGCCGCCGAGGGAGTGGCCGGCCAACCAAATGTCGGCGTGG